TTGGTACCACTGGCTGACTGTTTGATGCGATCACACGTCTAATCAGACACAAGATATTACAAGTTTAAATAAAAAAAGTCGGAATTTCTATGTTTTTGTATGTCATGCAATTTTATGTCACTTACTGGCAAAAGAGTTTAAAGAATTTATAAAAAATACATTCTTAAAAATTCCCACATAGCATAACCCATTTAACTATAATAATTACCAAATAAAGTAATTCTTAGAATTCATACATTGAACACCAGTCAAAATAAAATGTTTTGCTACCATCAACTCTTATTTATTTGCCTCCTGCAAATACTAAAGCAATAATTAATTTTAATTTGTGCATAGCATTAAAAGTTGTGATAGTTTTCTAACAGAGATGCAAGTAGATATAAAGGAGCTTTTTAATCAACTCTGGTATGAGTAAGTTTCTCTTCTTGAACTCTATTGATTACTGAAGACTTTATTTCTTCTTAGAACTGATTTTAAAATTCACTACATTTCCAACCACACTGAAGAGTTACAGTTTCTTAAACTTAAGTCCTGAGCATCTATTGCCCTATTGTTTACTTTCCAATAATTATATCCACATAAATACAAATCTATCAAGCACTATTGGAGCTTTTTTAAAACGTTTTTTGTTTTTCTTATTAATAGGTACATACTTACTATAAAAAGACTGCAATTTCCATTAGCATCTTACTCTGACTAGCATAAGAAACGTTCTCTACAAAGAGATAAGTTGCTTACATGCTATTAATTAACATCAATATTTATTAGAGATGCCTAAGAGACTTAGAAAACAACAGAGAAAATCTCCAGTGTGGTAGGACCTAGGAAACTTCAGAAAACACAGAAACTTAGAAAACATAGAAAGGTAGGAACTAGGTTACTATGCACCTCCAGGTTTTACATAATACTCAAAAAGCTATTTGATAAACTCACTTCCTATAATGAGTTTTTCGACCCTTCAAAGTTATTTTAAAGTCATCAGATAATGCATTTTCCTTTCAGAAAGCAAATAAGAGAAAGAAAGATACTATTTCCTTCATCTTAAAAATAAATAAATAGGTTATACCAGACTTAACAACAAGAAGAATTTTGCGAAACTGAGGTACTGTCCCTACACCAGTTCTATTTAGTAAAAATGAGAAATAAAAGTACCTGGGAAGTTCGTCATCTTGAAACCTGAATTACGATAACGTTAAAAAATCCCTATGCCTTACTGATTTTCTGAATGAGTAACTGCAGATGCTGCAATATTTGAGGTATTTCTGTTTCACAGATACTTACAACCAGAACATTCATTCGGCTAACTGAAAAGAATACTTCAAGCTGAAATTAAGATAGTGAGTAACGTGGTTTTTAAAAATATACCTAACATATCACAGAACAAACAGAGAATTGATATTGAGAAAAAATAATAAAAGACTAGAACTTCTAACATCGTAAGTTTTAATGCACTGAAGGACTAAAAACAGTCTATGCATTTATTTAGGTCCAGCTACCAAAAGATACATATAATTTAATTTAGACATATTTTATTTATATATTTGCATATAAACACAGAAGCTCAGAATTCACGTGAATTTACTCAGAGTATGGATTGACATTCTGTTTTTCTAAGCATAAAGTATCCCTGTAGCAAACTACATCACAAAAGCCTATGTTAAACATGGTTTTCCAAAATGAGACTTTCTTTCACCCATCGTGGATTTTACAATGTCCTCAAGCACTTTACTTTCCCCTTCCTGATGTGGATACATACGAATTTTTGTACAATGCCAGCATCTGGCACATGGTAAACAGTAAGAAATTTATAAAAATGCTCGTATTACTTTTAATGGTGGCAGATGCAGCACTGAACCAATTTGGACTCATTTTAAAAAAGCTGCCTGGAACTAGATGGATACTATATGTTTAGCTTAGGATATAAAAAACCTCAGCTTGAGACACTGAAGAAATAAATAATTTTGAGACACCTAAAACATCTGTAAATGCCAAACTTTCCAGAAATGTTTTCCAGTTGCTGGTAGTAGAATTAAATTTTCTGCTTTGGGGAAGCCCTAAGTTCTAAGCAAAGATGTAAAACATGAGTTGCTTTCGGGATTACTCACTTCAGATTTATTTAGAAGGATTTCTATCCTCGACTATAAAAGAGACATAGCAGAAACTTTCGACTATTCTTGCTCTCTCAGAATGACTGTGAAAGAAATACTCAAATGCAAAAACGGCACAGATGGATTATAAAGAATCATTAATTCATATATTACTCCATAGGCTAGAAAGGCCAAAGGCTCAAATGCCTGATGCAGGTTTCAGAAGTTTTAACCATGGAGGCATGATGACTCTTTTTGGAGTACTCTTTGGAATTCCATTGCTAGTTGAGCTTTCATATGAACTGAGCCAGCTTAGTGGAAAATCTTATATTCAAAACTTCACCAGTCAACAGTGTTCTATTTTTAGCATAAACTAAACATTCTAACCATAATGAAATTCAATGGATACAACCATATTTTTTTTAACTGAAAACATTACTGAAAGCTGTACAAATTGCAATTAAACTTGATAATAAAAACAATGAAATACGACAAAGCAGCAATAAATATGATCATTTTTTCCCCATTGTGTTTTCATTTTTTCACTTACAGGTGCATCACGGTTAGAAGTGATATCAGTCATAACCAGCAGATTTACCTGACATTTATAGAAATAGGTAAGGGAGAAGCAGCTCGTGGAGTGGTAAAAGTACCTTTTTGGTACAGTGTCCTGCCTATGAACGTATCACTACAATTTACCCACACTACATCTTAAGTGGTCTTCACCTCAGGGATGCTGTACCGCATCTCCCAAAGACCAGGCCATCATGTACTCTGACATAGCTCTCTGAATTATCTGCTGGAGCTTTCTCACTCTATACAAATAAATAACTGTATCAGAGCAGAACAACAAACCTGCATTTCTCAACCCCCTGGATCTCTACTCTGACTTTTCTTGGCCAATTACTTCATAATTAGTTATATGGACTGATAATGAGGAATTTGATAAAACCCAGAGCTATTCAGAGGTTTACTCATTTGTTTGCATTAGACTTCAAGTCAGTTCCCTTTTCTGTTGCTCCAGCAGACTCAACAGGATAGTAAAGAACTAAAAGAGTTCATCTAGCAACTGTACCCGAGGGAGAAAACTGGCAGACTAAAACTAGAAAATCAATTGTTCTGACTGAAAGGAAAAACTCATTCATATCATGCTCTGGCCTCAAACTGTTTAGTTAGCATCAGTGACAGACTTACCTGTTTATACTACACGTGTATTTATATGCAGTTAGTATTACACTAAGCCTAATGCAGTCTATGGGATTAATCGTGTGTTTAGTGTTAACCATGTACTTAAAATGCTCCACTGCACTGAGCTCAGTCATTAGCCCATGAAATAAATGTGGCATTTATTTACAAAACATGGGCTTTCTTCTTTCACATAAGTAATGCTGAGGAGCTAGGTGAGATTAAAAAAAGAAAAAATAAATCAGACAAAATATTTTATTGTCAGCAAAAGCAAATGCCCTAAGCCCTAATGCAGCCATCTTAGATGACAAAACAGAGTCCCGAAAAGTTAAACATAGAACATAATTAATTATAATTAAGTCTTGGAAAACTTCTCAATTACAAACCATACAAAAAATACAGTAACTGAATTATTTTAGAAAATTAAGACATTTCAAGGTCTTTAGGTATTCTCATCTTACCCATTTTATCGTCTTAACTTCTAGAAGATATGCAGTCTTACCTCCACAATAGCATTCAAGGCAGTGTCAGCACCAATGCTAAAGTCTGTGCCTGGCACATTGTTGCTAATAGTAGCAGGCAACACACAGATAGGTACGCAAAACTCCTCAAAGCGGGAACGTGCCTCGTGCAGCTGCAGACAACTTTCATAGGCCTGAAGCAGTGGTACAAGTATGAGTGATACATTCCTTGTCTTTGGACTGCTCTGCTAATGACTCCTCGCATGTGATGGTAAATTTGGCTGCCCATTGGCCCAAGTAAATACAATTGGTGAGATCATTTGGGAGTGGGGGGGTTACCCTGTACATACCACAACAGTGCACTGGGGTTGCATTGGCACAATGCTCTTCGAAGAAATGCAGACGATTAGTGCAAGCTAATACAGAGTGAACGTGAAGTGTGCACAGTATAGAGGTCTGCAGCAGCTGGGCAGAAAAAGACAGCATAAAGGTAGACTGGAAACCATTCCACAGGAAACCACTTAAAGAACAAAGCTTGATAGATGTTAAGGAGTTTAGGAGGTTAACTAGTAAAACACCAACAACCTGAAGGAAATGCTTAGAGAGAGCTGCTTTTTAAAATACTATGTTATCCTATAGTCAAGACACACATCTATTTCCACCAAGAAAAAAAAGAAAAACTGTTTTGCCTTTGCCTTCCAAGATTCTATCAACATCACACACCTGCCCCTATGCACAAAGACCAGATACAGGCCCAGAAAAATCCAAGAACATGTGCACACGGATGAGTTAATAAAGTTTGCATGTATAGTTCAAAGATTCTTTGAAAAGCAGCAGGTCCTTGGGAAGATTGCAAACACTACAAAATAAATCATGTGAAAAGGATTAGGTGTTCCTAATAGATGTCAAAATAATACTTCAAGGTTAAGCTTGTGCAGTTGTTTTAAGTCAGTAAACGTATTTTTTTATTTATATTATTCCAGTTCTTTCTAATCTGAACTAACTGGCATCTCTCACGATGTATGACAATTTTTCAAATTGCCTATGTAATGACTCTCCACGGATTACATAGTATGTCATGTATTTCTTAATCTCTTTCTCCCAGAAAGGGTTTATATTCACGTAAGTCCCATCTTTTCAATTTCTCAAATCAGTTCAGATAAGTAAACTACTGCAGATCAGCTTACTAGATTCCTGTCAAGCTATCTTCACAAATATCTATACAGTGACTGCTTTAAGTAACAACTTCAGAGAAAATGATGGGAAAAAAATGTCACCTGTGAGTTCTGCTCTCTGTATTTTTTT